ATTCTAAGACTATGAAACCAAAACATCAATCAAGGGCCCTCATATCAACTATATCAGAGAGCCAAGCCTGGTTCTTACCTAGCAGCAAAGGGCCTCCTGGAGCTGGCTTTTGGAAAGAGGTCTCAGAAACAGGAACTCCACTGAACTATTCTAATCGATATGAGAGAGAACTTCCCCTCAAACCAGGTCAGATCAGAAAAGGGAAGATGCGCAGATGGAGCGTCAGATCAGCAAATGTACTGGAAAATCAGCTGGAATGGACCCAAAATAGGTTTCCTGTTTATTCTGCAGCATTTATGCTTCCAGCAATGGAGGGTTTTGATAAGAAAAGGCATGGTGTTGACTTACTTGGTAGAGATTTTATCGTCCTGGGGAAACTCATCTACATGCTTGGTGTTTGTATGAGATGTGTTTCCATGCATCCTGAAGCATCTGCATTGGCTCCTTCTCTTCTAGATATGTTAAGATCCAGGTAAATAATTAAAAAACTTATAATCGTGTTATTAAGCAGTGGAAATGGCATCTTGGGATTAATGGTCCATAACCTGGTCCCAGATGAAGTTTATGTGCATATTTAGTAGATTGTGCTGACCACCAGTATCGGTTCACCTTACATCAGCTTGTCATGTGCTTGCGTAGTGGGGGATACTATATGTTATTGGCAAGTTAGTGATGCAAACTTTATGCAGGGAGATATGCCATCACAAAGAGGCTTATGTCAGAAGAGCTGTCCTTTTTGGTGCTTCAAGTGTGTTGGTGTCCCTTCATCCATCTTTTGTTGCATCAGCCCTATCCGAAGGAAATCTTGAAGTTTCTATGGGGCTTGAATGGGTTCGCACTTGGGCCCTTGATGTAGCTGAGTCGGACACAGATAGAGAGTGCTACACAGTAAGCAAGGAACTCTGGAATTTGTGTCACTTGTTTTTAATTTTTGTTATTATTATTGAACTCTTTCTAGACAATCATATCTAGAAGTTTCACGACTCCTCCATGGGCTGTCAAATGATAATCATGTCCTGAACATGTTGAATTCTTGAAAAATTTTAGCTGTCAAAAAAGGGCCGTAGGTAATAACATTGCTCCACGTGGTTTGAGCTTGAATATGCTAGGATGATGCAAGAGATAGCATAGTAATACTGAGAACTTTTTTCTGCTGTAGAGAAACGTATGCTTTGCATAATCATGTTAGCATGTTTGCCATATTGAAATACCATGTATTTTGCATCGTCATGAGGTGAAAACAGCATGTTATCTTTTTTCTTAATGGCAGTGATGTCTGGATATCAATGTGTGTAGTTTGTACTTTTGTGGGTAACTGCTTACACATACTGAATGGGATACTTTCTGACCCGTTCTTCCATACCTGCATTAGTTGTGATGCGTACAAGTTGAAAATAGCTCAGGAATATGCATACCATTGAAATACTTGTAGATTTGTTTCAAGTTCATGCTATTTAAAATTGCTCTGGAATGTGCATTTTGGCCTATTATTTCAATTCATATTTGAAATACTTAATTTTATTTCAGATTTCATACTGCCAGAATCATTTCTAAATCTAATGCGGTTGATTTTTGTCTTTAGATGGCTATGTCATGCCTCCAGCTTCATGCAGAGATGGCCCTCCAAGCTTCTAGGGTACTAGAGTCTGGAGAAAGTTCATTGAAGTCAAAGAGCATCGGTGTTTCTTCCAATCTATCTATAGGGACAATCAAAATGCCCTTCTCAAATGTTGAATACTAGATCTTTGATCGTTTCTAATCACACTTTTTTTGTACAGTTTCTAGATTAATCATAAGCTCGTGTAAAGTTACCTTCCGTTTTGTGGAGAAGAATTAGGATGTAGATTACTAACGCATGCAATATACTTGTCTAACATCTTCTTAAGGAGCCATTTTGTGAAATCCCATGTTAACCAGTCTAGATTGTTGACACCAGGCAGCACGAACTAGGGTAATACAAGAGGTTAACATTGTGCAGAGTTTGACATCCAATGTTTGAACCGTGTTTCCAGAGTATCAGGAATCGCGCTTCGTTACTGCTGGTCTGCAGGGTGCTGTCTGACTGGCACATCCATTCCCCATGAGCTATGGCTGTAATGGATTTTTTTTTTTTCCTGCTAAAATATTTGAGATGGCAATTTGCCTCGTCCCAATGGAGGCCTGCCTTTTTTGGCCTCGGTCAACATGGTGATTCTCTGAGTTTAAATTATACTCGCCTTGTCTTGTTTCGTCTTTTCTTTTGAAAATTTAAATTACTCTATATTAATTCTGAAGTTATAAACTAATATCTAACATAACAAGTGAGTTTTGATAATTGTTAAACAATAAAGATATACAAAAATTTATGTTTTTTAATTGCATTTGTGATACTTTATTAATTTAATTAACTATATTATTTAATTGAAAATAATTTAATATATTATGAGTTTATTAATTTAATAAACTATATTATTCAATTGAAAATAATTTAATATATTATGAGTTGTATTGTAAATTTATAGTTGAATATGATGTTAAATAATTATTTTTTTAATTATATTTTTATATAAATTATTTTTTTTTGGTTATAATTTAAAATTTAATACCACATAATATGAGATAGAATGAAAAAAAGAAAGTGGAAAGAATTAAGCTAGACACCAATACCTTACGATAATCCTCGTCCCTTGCCTCGCGTGAGACAAAGAGAGTTTTTCAGGAGTGAGCCCCATTGCCATTCCTATATACCAGCTCGTAGCCTATAAATTTATAGGACCTGATTGAGAATACTTTGAAACATTTAAGATAAAATTTATAGATTTGGGACTCAGTTGAGGGTGAGGACAAATTGGTCAGGGGCTAAATGGAAGTTTCTCCAAATAAAAGGGAAAAGGGCAGTGGAAATCTGATACAAGTACAAGACACTGACATTCAACCTGTGCATTGGCCTCAGTGAGACCCACAACCGCAACTCAATAGTCTCTCTCCCTATTTAAAACGACAAAGCCGGTTACCCACAAGAACCAAAGTCAACGTCGTTTATGGCCATGGCCGTGGCGACTGCAGCCTCTTCTCTCCTCCACTCAAAGCCACCACCACCACCACCACCTCTTCTTTCTCATTCCCCACATTTAGCACAACAACTTCACCTTCCCAAAACAACATCCTCCAAATGGACCCCGTTACTGCTCACAACAAGTTATTCAACCTTAGAAAACGCCATGCCCATGGCAAGTCATTCCATCAACAGCCCAAGACTCTCTTTCCTTTCTTCTTTGACGACAACTGCCACTGATACTGTAGCCATGGTGTGCCCTTCATTTGCATATGCAAACACCTTTTACTTCAAATCAGGATTTAACGTGCAAATCAATGTGAAAGAGAACGAGCCTGAGGAGAGTATCGTGTTTCGGTTCAATAAAGCTGCTATAAGGGCACGTATTTTGCAGGAGTGTCAGAGGAGGAGGTTCTTTGAGAGTACACAGGATAAGAAGAAGAGGAAAACTAGAGATGCTGCTGGAAGAAACAGAAAGAGGTAAGAGTTTGTTCTTTCTTTTCTGGGTTTCTTTCTTTCTTTCTGTTTTGGGTTTCAATTTACGTATTTTCTTGCGACTTTTGGCTACTTAATTGTGCAATTTGGTTTTGAGTTTTGTGGGGTTTGATTGATGTTGGGTACATCTGAAAACTGTTTTGTCTTTTTTAGGATGTTTGGCTCTTCTGTTTATATAAAGATTTTGGTTTTGCTTGATATTCTAATTTTGCAACTAACTATATAGGATTCTTAGCATCTGAAAAGTCTAGTGCTTGTCTTGTGCATTATTATAAAATGAAATTTTGATTTTACTTAATTTGTTTGTCTTAACATTGTGCTTTATGATCATGCTCATTGACACTTATGTCAAGAGGTAGAATCTCTTATAATCTAGCTTCTGGATTCTAGTCTTGTTTGGAGTGGGACTATTTAAATTTTAATGGACCTTCAGTGTGATGTGAAATCAAACCGTTGACTTTCTATGAAAAGTTTATGCTCACTTGGTGTTGATCATACTGAGTTAGACATGGTTGCTTAAAAGGTTGTAAGTACAGGAAAGAAAATGTTTTTGCTGTTCCAGCTTTAGTAATGAAAACCTCAGTCAAATTGTTGTGTTCGGTCTCCCTGCTATTCGAATATCTTTCTTCCCCTCCCTTTGTTAGTTTTGCTTTCTTACTTTTGGTGGATCTTAATATTATTTGACAATGCCCATTTCATTAACCACGTGGCATCTTTTAGCCTTTTAGAAGTCCTGGAGGTAGCTGCATGAACCTTTTGGCGATGCTGCTTGGATAGCTACAACTGTGCTTTCTGATTTTGTAAATCTTTTGCTTTCTGAGAAGAATTGTTTGAGGAGTTATGCTTGCCTGGACCCTCTTGACGAAACTCAAAATGTTATCTTACTGCTAATTTGTTTCTCGTCAATGGCAGACGCCCACAGCCAAGAGCACCAGTTAAACAGGAAGCACCCAAGAAGAATAATATTGACGATGACAACTGGGAACTTCCAGAAGGAGAGATTCCCTATTGCTGACTGCAAATTAAGGATCGGCTTCAACCCTCAACCCCAGACTTGAAATTCCCAGCAGTGCTTTTGATAACCAGATTGTCAGTATAAAAAATGTTAAAACTAGATTAGCAGGCTAGGAAATGTGAATAGAGTTGCTGGATTTCTAAACACAATCTTGAGATTCCACACTTGTTTTTTACAGGAGGTTTTAGAATCGGTTCAGTAGTTATTGGTTTTGCACTGTGGAGGATAGAGATGTAGCCTTAAATGTATTTAGGAGTCCAAAAAATGTAATGCTTATTATGCTATCACTAATGTCCTTATAGTTGTTAAAGAATTCTGTGCTGCTGCGATTATATAGTTCCTGTGTGCTAAATGACTATTTACCATCGCAAACTCAGACAAGCTTACCCCCGTCTAGACTCTAGCCTAAGCACTGTACATTTAGAAATTTAGCTGAACTGTGGATTTCAACTAAGCTCATTCAAGCTGGTACAGTTGCTGCGGCTTCGACCTTCCCAGCTTATCTGATTCCCTAGCATACCCAGTTTTCCGTACCTTCTGATGGGAAGCAATCGCAGTTGTCCTATAAAACTCTGGTTTTATTTCTAATCACATTGTTCATGACACTGAGCTTTGCTTTCCCCTCTTTAAATGCATGTGATAATAGCAGAATTTGAAGAAATTGCTCATTTTTAGCCCATACATGGGGTACGATGAGTAGATCAATGGAGTATTGGGTACTTGCAGGGAGTCTTGGTAGATTAAAAAAAAAAAAAGGGAACCATCAAAGCATAGCCTAAGACAGACCCAATTGGACTACTGATGATACGTTGTCAGGAACTTGCTGCTTTCCTTGAACTGCTTTCTTGCTTTCAAATTTATAGGTGCGCATGTGAAACTTAACAACAAATGAAATAGATCAAAGATAGCAATCACGCATCCCTGTTCTAACAAATTGAAAGCATAAGCACATGAAATCTACAATCATCTTGGATCAATTAGAAACAGTTTCTTGCAACACATAAAATTTGACTCGAATGCCTACAATACATTAGACAAGCAACAATTTTAGAAAGACGATATTGCTACCAGTTGGACCTTTGTGGAACCATTTTAAGGGCATGGCTTCAGCTTACTATAAGCGAGACATCAGGTTTCTTACCATTCCTACCTTCCTGTGTTCTGGCAACAAAGCTCCAAACTGCAACCACATTGTTTGAATTTAGAACTAGCAATCACAGTCAGATTGCCAAAATGCCACCAGAGTCACTTGGAGATGGACAAACTACAATATGTATCATCATGCAATAGAGATGGACATCATTTTTTTCAACAAAAATATTTACACCCTATCAAAATTGATGAAATTACTTTTCAATTGGTCTAGTTTCTCAAAAAAAACCTCCAAGCATTTAGAGCTGAACCAGTTCTGTTTCATCTGCATTGCATCAAAGAAAGAGAATCCCAACCCATTAATGTGATACGAATTATGCTTAACAGAAACACGATGTAATGGCAAGAACTTACAAAGTAAGGGTAGCCATCCATTCTGAAATTTTCTGGAGCCTCCTGAACAAACAAATTTATAAAGTAAAGAACATAATTACCACATTCTTCACCATTTCTTTGTTGTGGCACCTGGAAAGATTTCAAAAAAGGAATGTTTAATTTAAGTTAACATCCACAGGCTAGATGCAGAAAGTGACGAAGACAGATTGTTGGGATCACCTTAGGCACCAACAACGGAATTTGAGAAATAAGCTCTTTATTTTCAGCCCTGCCTTCTGATTTATAAATATCCAATACAAACCTGAAAACAAGCACCCATGTTAAATACTCAATTAGAAATATATGCTTAAGAAAAAAAAAATCAATTGCAAAAAGAACTCATACTTTCTTATATCTGGTTCAAAGCTCCTAGGTCCTGCCTTTTCAAGTGAATCCAGCAGCAGCAAGCACGGTGTTCTGGCTTGTGACTGGAGACTCTCACCAAGGTGACAGAAAATCAAGAGGCTCCAATGACTCCTGAAAGAAAACAATTTCAAAAGTTTGAACATCATGCATTAACGACAGAGAAGACATCAAATGGCTTTGTTATGAAGAACCTTACCAGCAGACGATGGGAACAAGAACATATTTCTTCAAAAAGATTTGCTTCCTCTTGATCCATGTCAGGACCTTTCCTTTAAAGGATGCTTTAGTGTACAAGTTAAACCATAAGCCATCAAAGTAAGTGAAGTCCTCTTATCTTCCGAAAAGCTCCTCCATACATGCCTGCATTTTTTCAGACATATTTTGGGACACAGTCGACATATTAAACAGTTAAAAGTCTTGTAGAGTACTAAAGGCAACTGCTTACTCGAAGTAGCAGTCGAATGCTCCACTATCTAGCTTTTTCTTTTCTTTAGCCACTTCTAAGATTGCATTCTTGGCCCTAATTCTCCTCTTTGATCGTGCACTGCAAGGGAATGTGCCCAAAAAACACTGGGATGTTAACTTGAAGCTCCTTAAATTTGCAGCTTCTTGTTTAGTTATCTTTTTTCCGCTAGATATGAATGCGCTATCATATGTATCCAACATGACCGATGTCTCGCCATCCACTCGCAAGTCTCTGCCAAAGCATGATATGAACCCAATTCAACTTAAGCATACCTCAGTCTTGAACTAGCTGAGAACATTTACATGAATCTCTTCTATAAATTTCTCCATTCAGCACCCAATATAGGTTCCTCCACTAGATGCTATCAATTATTTAAACTACCAAACATAGATCTAATATTGTAAATGAACCGTTATTGCAAAAACCCAGCCAGGCTTGATGATTAATTATTAATTTTTGACAATCACTCGTGAGCTTCATTGGGTGTTACAAAAAACCAATTCACTACATAAATATTTTGGCAGGATCCAATGAGTATTATTTACCCAGTAGAAAACAAATTACTTGTTTGGGTGTTACCTCAGTCACTTTCTTTACGCTAAAACTCGACCAAGAAAGCGAACTGGAAAAGGGTTTAAGAATTCAAAGCAAAACATGGATCGATTGAGTAAAAGGGGTGCTTGGGTTGGCTTACTCCTCAGAAAAATTCCACTCTACAAACAACAGCGGAACCCTTCCACTTCTCTGATCTTTTTCCAGTGTCACATTCAAAAATAAACAACATTGATAATTGCCAATAGAAGACACAGAGACGGGTTTTCGAAAGAGGAAACGAAATCGATTAAATTTTTACCTGAAATAGGAGATTTGGTGTCAGCAGTACTAATTTCATCTTCACGTTTTCTCTTCGCCATTGTTCTTCCCAAACAGAAGGTGGACAGTTACTTTTTCTTTTTTCAAAAATTAAATTTTAAAAATTAAGTTGTTACTTGTCAAAAATTATGGGAGAAATAAATTTTTCATAAATGCATAATCTGAAATCTGAGATAAATATTGTGCCAGATTACAAAGGAACTTCATATCAAGAAATTTGTTTCCTTCCTTAAATCTTTTGGACTTAAATTTTAACATCATCACTTAGGAATTTAGTCTCTATAAATTATTTCGAGAATAATCTTTATTATGAAATAAAAAATAATAATAGCAAAAAGACTCCGTTTTAGACTGCACTAGCCGATTTTTACTTACACTGATCGAATAAAACAAAATCATTTAAAAAAATTAATTAACTTTTTTATATTTTTCATAAATATTTTATTTAAAAAACATGATTTATTTTTCTTTATATATTGATTTTTAAATAAAAATTATAATAATTTAAACCGAAATATTAATAAAAATATAAATATATATTTTTCATAAGAATGCATTCAAAAAAATAAAAAAAATAAAATTATATTTAATAGTTGGTATTATGAGTAAAGCTATGTAGTTAATTTTTAATAAAACTAATGATTTATTTTTTTTAATATTTTTTTATCATACCTAGTAGATTGAAATAAATTATCTCAAATACATTTTTTATCTTTTAGATTAATATATATATATATATATATATATATATGCAACTATCATTTAAAAATTTTAAGAATTTATAATATATATTATATCAATTTATTTATTTATTTATTTTTAAATCATGTTTTAAAATTTTATTCTAAAATACAAATATTGAAAAAAAAATCATATTTATTAGTAAATATATATATATATATATAAGATTAATTGGATAAGAATTTTCATAAGAAATAACAAATTCAATGAATAAAATTAAAATAATAAGAGTATTATAATTTAAAATATATATTAATTTTAGAATATAAAAGCATAGTATATATATTTTATCTTTGCCATGTTACGTGAAAAATAAAAATAATAACATTCAATATTCTATAATTTTTATCTAAAAATTCTTAATTAAAAAAATATCAAAGCAAAGAAGGAAAAAAAAAAAAGAAAGAAAAAAGGTAAGGTGCATGTCTCCCTCGCACCTAAAGCTGGGCAGGAAAAAAAAACAGAGACTATTATGATTTTTCAGCAACTCTATAATTTCTGATGAACTCAATTTCGTTGAAAAAAGTCATTAAAAAGTCAGGTATCTCATTTTTTAGCCTCTCAAAACCAAATTTAGCTTCTTTTTTGTCAAAAAAAAACCTCAAATTCATAGAAATAACGTAAACAAACTTGTTTAGAACCTTAAAACACATTTTAATTCATACAAAACACACAAAATTTCAATTCAAAATAAAAAAAAAAAATTAGAATATTTTCTGATCCTAATTTACCTTCCCCGACCATTTCATCTCTTGCCACCTCCACAAACAAATTCTATTTTTCGAGGTGAATAAAATGGTGGCAAGCTTGATAGTTGAGGTAGTCGAAATAGGTCTCGTTGTCCCTCTCTTTCATTTCTCTCTCCTTTTAGCATGCAAGAACCAAAATGAATGTAAAATGAATTTGTGGACCAAAAAAACAAATTTAAAAAATAAGAGACCAAAGTGTACAATTGTTTTTTGCTAAACAATGTCTTACACAATGAATGAATAATGATTTAAGAGAGATTACACTGTAAATGAATAGTCAAAGTTGAGTGTATGAATAGTGCATAAATAGTGTCTACACAATGTTTTTAAGTTTTGTTTTAGTATATTTAGTAATGGTTCTAATTTGATATGGATGCATCGCAATTAGGTCGATGGATTGTTGATAAACCACTAATAATAATAACATTGAATTAATAGATACTTTAATTAAAATGGATTGTGATTAGGTCAAATACATGCATTATAGAAAAATTGTAACGTTGAATTGATATATAGTTCAATCAAGGACCATGATTAGGCTAATCATTAGTGCTGGATAAAACCCTTAGTATATAGTAACTTATAACGGCATGTAGGTGAATTTTTAGAAGTTAATTAAATTGGAAACCAATTTGAAATAACCAATCCAATTTGGTTTGAAAGTATTAAGTTTTGTTAACTTGATTCAGATATCATATATGAAGCAATATATCAATTTTTTGTGTATGCGAGAATTTTTTATTTTTTTTAGCAGTTTTGTGTTCAATGTAGATGTACATGGTCCTATTTGATGCTTAATTTTAAAGCAATCCTTAATATTTATGGGTGTACAATTCACATTTTATCACTTGATATATATATATGCATTTTTATCTCTAAATTTTTAGTATGATTTGTTTGTATTAATAACATTTTTTTTTCATTCACAAAAAAAAGGTTTAAGAATTACATGGAATACCAATTTCATGGCTATCTATAATTATCATCTAGAATAATAATTTTTTATCAAAAAAATTAATTAATTGAACAACCATCAATCAAGATTACCAATTACCATAAGAGCAAGTATAAATATTATATCACCTGCCCAATCATGAGAGAGGAGTGGGAAAGAAAATTAGGTTTAATACACTCGTGTATCCGTATTTTAACAAAATTATCGTCATAATCCATGTATCCAGATATAGCCTATAATCGATCTCATGCTATCGAAGTTAGTCTAAATTAACTCTTTCGTCATGTTTTTCTGTTGTTTGACTAATTTCTATTAATTGATTTATGAATGATCAATACAATGTCAAAACCTATCGTTTTAAGAGGGAAAACATAATGTTGTTCTTAATTTTGTTCATTGGCTTTATTTTAAGTCATAATTATTTAAAATTAAAAAGAAAAAAGAAAAACCTTCAGTTATTTTCCACACAGCCCCCAATAAAGCAAAAGGGTATTTTTTATTTTTTATTTTTTAAGTTGTGAAAAGCAGCAATTTCTGCATTGAAAGAAATAAAAAGAATGGTTAATGATCGGATGGCTAGTTTTCAACTGGCTTCTGTGGGATCCTCTAATGCGGCCATGGCCGCGGCGACCAAAGGGAAGGAATTGGATGGTGGGGTGAGGAAGATACATGTGAGTAATGTGGGACTGGGTATTGATAAGGAAATCTGTCGGGTTTGATAACGAGACTTTGAAGTCAAGAGGGTACTCAATTTCTCCAAATTTCTCAAAGAAATCTTTATGAGACTTTGAAGTCAAGAGGGTACATAATGTTTGTTTATAAGACCGCGGAGGGGAGGAGCCTCATAAGATGTTTGAAGGGCAGCAATTGTGCTGCTCAATCCCGACACAAAGAATTTTTTTTTTTTTTCACTTTTAAATGATTTTAACTTAAAATAAAATTAGGAAAAATAAAATTCACCTATAAAATGACAGATGCCAAAATTATTTTGATTATTCGTAAGCCAACTAATAGAATTTAGTTAAATTAATAGAAAAACATAACAAAAGAGTTAATTTACATCAATTTCGATAATATAAGATCGGTTCCGAACTATATCTAAATATGAGGGTTATGACGATAATTTTTTTAAAATAAAGAAACTCAGGATGTATTAAACCTAAAGAACACCAGGGTGACAAATAAGTAACTAGATATTACCAATTGCTAATTTTGATTTTTTTTTTGGTAACGGCTAGATCATTAATTAGTTAGGTAGAAAACATTAACCAAGATGTATTTATCAGCACCAAATTCACTCGTCAGTTTGCCTATTCTCTGTGTATTCTTACACAATAAGTAATGTGCTCAGTGATTCAAGACCAGTAATATTATTTATCTTAGTAAATTCGAAGTTTACCTAGCAAGCCCCACTTACCATATAATTAGGTATATAATCAAAATATATGCCAAAAATTTACATTGCCATATATATTCTTGTAAACATGCCAAAAGTACTGGTCCCAAGTCATGCAAGATACTGCTAATTTTGGTTCATTCTTGTGTATTCTACTTCCATATGGCAAATATAACTTCTTTTATGAAACTTTTCTATTTTTCTTTTCAAGAACGGACTCTTACTTGTTCGTATGCATGTTAAGACCAAGCAATAAATAATAATATGTATCGACTTTGCTTGAGATTTTAAATAGCTATATTTACATATGTGTGTGTGCAAGACTGTCTTTAGTTTGTAGTAAATTAAATTAGTGCCTAATTATTTAGAAATATGACAAAGAAACTTGTCTAGTACATGATTAATATATGCTTTTGTAAATGCAGGAATGTGGCCTTAGATATTTTTTGTTGAAAAAATTAATTCAAAACATTCACAATTATAAGAACCGAGATTAACTAGATTTGACAAGAGGAGCAGCAACTTTCTAAATTGAATTCAAGGGAAAAAAAAAAAAAAAAAAAACTCCTTTTTCTTCCCTGAAAAAGAGAACACTACACAGCATATTCAGCACACTGCTTCGTCAAATTATGTACTTTAAAACCTGAATTCAAGGGTTCTTCTTTTGAATAAAACTACTAATAAAGAAAACTGAACAAAATTCAAGCAAAAAGAGAGTTGCAATGAAGAGAAAAAAGAGAGAGTCAAATATAAGAATTAAATAAAGATGCAGACAGTATGAGCTTACAGAGTCAGAAGACTTCAAAACTTTGCTTCTTGATTTTCTTTCTTTCATTTTTTTTTTTTTCTTGTTTCTTTATTAGATTAGACAAGGGCATTTAACAGAGGGGTGAAAAAAAGGTACAAGACAAAAAAGGGTTGAGGGCAACACCAAACCAAACAAAAAAAACGGGGGCACGAAGGTAAATGGAAGAATGACAGAAACGAAATTAAAAAATAAAAGCAGGGCAAGAGGGAAAAAAAAAAAAAAAGAGGAAAACACTGCTCATTTGAACGGTAGCAAATGAATGTCTTGGTGAATAGTGAATGCTACATGGATTAAGCATTTTGGTCTACTGCTCAAATCAAACAAATTTTAGGGTTTTGAGATGGGATAAAATTTGATTATCATTTTAGTAGGGAAATCTTATTGTAGTTGAT